TTCAAAAAAAAACCCCTACATTATATACTTAATTCATACTCTGTAAAATAACGCAGGTGTCCAAGGTTAGCCAGCTTTTTCTTGTTTTCAAGCACTGCTCCTTGGATTTAATATGCATATGAATCACCGATGTTTAATAAGGTCACTTTCCTCATAGGGAATGTGCCAATAAAATCCAAGTATAATTATCTGTAAACCTTTTCAAATTGTAATTTTGGTTTAAGAATCTCATGGCGGTCCTCCTCTGCAGAATTCATTTAATTCGCTAATTTCAGTTTGCATGCAAATGTCCTATGGGGTAACTCTCCTGCTTATTAGCCCTGGTCTTTGGTTGAAGCTACGAACTTCAAAAGGGCACCAACAAAAACATAACAAGTGTTCCCAATCTCAAAACTCTCAACATCTGTGTGAAATTCTGAATCCGGGTTGCCTTAGATATCTGATAAACTGATTCACCACCCTGTGAAAATTCCGTAACTAAAGAAAGAGTAAATTTAAGGTATTCCTATTAGGCTGCATGAGGCCTTTAAGAAAACCTATTGACAAGAAGAAAAGGGCATTCTAAAATCACACACACACACACACACACACACACACACACACACACACACACACATACACACACACACTTCAATCTTAAAACAATGGAGATTCAGTAATGAGTTTCTCCACACCTTTTCTCTTTGATTTTGTAATTTTCTTTTTTGTGCATTCCAGTGTGAGTCATTTTCTCAATCTCTTTTCCTAACCAACTATATTACAAAGAAAAGATCTTTGGGGGCAGCACACTGCCCTTCTTGGCCAGCTGGAGTTTCTGGGCACCTGGGTTGTTGGGTATTGACAAGCCCCATAGTAGAAGACACACACACTAGGCCATGCAAGAGCAGGAATGGTGGAGGCTGGGAGGGGCAGGCCGGGCTTGACTTCAGTGTCCAACTGTATAGTAAACCTAAGCAGGGACTGTGTTTAGAAGAGAAAGCTGGAAGCTTTCTGTAGGGTAAGGAATGTCCATTCGTGACGTCAGTCCCAGGATGTCACAGACTCAGGACAGAGTGTCCTCCACAAAGCAGATGTGCTCATAAGACAATGCTGATTATCATGGCAAAATGACATTGTGCTCATTATGTGAGGGTCACTATGCCTCGCGTGAGTTAACGAGTTTAACCCCGCCCCATATTGAAGTCCTGTAATGTAGGGATACTTGTAACCTGTGTTGTAGTCAAGGAGTCAGAGGTTTAAGTAATTTGTTTTGACTCAGTTCATGTGTAGTCGCCGGAACTTAAATGTGCAGCTCATGTGCACTAAAATAAATACCAAGAAGAGAGAAAGACAAACCTCAGACAAAGGCTTTAGAAACAGTGAAATGACATAATAAACATTATGGCTAAAAAGTGTGTGGAGGGTAGAGGGTAGGGGAGAGAGAGAGAGAGAGAGAGAGAGAGAGAGAGAGAGAGAGAGAGAGAGAGAGAGAGAGAGAGAGAGAGTATCAAAAGTCTTCTTTTAAAATTAAAATTAAGTAATTGAGGACTGGTGTGATACTAGCAGGTAAAGACTCCTGTTGCTATGACTAATGGTCCAAGTTTGCTCACAGAGACCACCGCCATGGAAGGACAGAACTGATGCCTGCAAACTGTCTTCTGATCTCCACACTGGAGACACGGCCACTCCTGCCTGTACCCAACAAAATAAAACATACTAGAAATCGAAATAGGAATGAAATAATTGAATATCAGGACTATCTTTTCCCACTACTGGTCTGACACACTTCCCAGAAATACGAAGATTCGTGTCTCAACGAAGCTCTCCAACTTCCAACTGGAAGAAATATCCTAAAGTTAACCATTATCTTTTAGATTGGGTTAACGTGGACAGAAAAGTTGATACAACCACATGGGGAAACACTTGCAATGCAGAAACAAACAAACAAACAAACAAACAAACAAACAAAAGAGTAGATAGCAGTTTACAAAGAGCTCCTGAAATTGAGACTACCAAACCACACAACTCCAGAGGAAAATAGCTTAAAAACACAAATGCTAATTCTCAGAAAGAAAGAAAAATAAGGCATAAAGTCACAAAAAGAAGTTTGGACTCACTAATGAGTGAGTAAATAAATAAAATTACTTCATTCGACAGTGCTGTTTTAAGAAAAAAATTATGTTAAAATACACCTTATTCTTTGACTTGAAGATGCTCTTAGATCTACTCCACTTATAGAAGGATGATCACTTACGTAATTCTTTGTCATACTGAAAACTGGAACTATCCAATAATTGTGTGTAAAATGTATTTTTAGTTGAGGGAAAAGCAAAGTCTAGGTTAATATTTACAAATTGACTCAACTATTTTGTGTTTTCATATTCACACATGTGTGCAATGCATTTGAATCAAATCTTACCTTCCAATCCTTCCCCTCTAATTCTTTCCCTGTCCCCCAGCTACTTCCCTCTTTCAACTTCATGTGCGCTTTTTAAAAACCCATTGGATTCATTTAATGCCATCTGCATGTGCTTGGGTCTAGTGTCATCTCCTGGAGCATGGGTAGCCTTTCTGGGACTGCAAAACGGACTGCCCCTACGCTAGCAATTATCAATCGATAGTAGCCTCTCAGCTAGGGGTGGGATTTCACGAGCCCCTCCCCTATAGGTGCCAAGAATTTTGGGCTGTCTTGATATCACGCAGGTCTTGTGCATGCCGTCACAGCCACCGGGAGTTCATGTGTGCAAAGGCCCCGCCATGTCCAGCAAATGTTTCACTGCAGGTGTTTACTATTTCTGGTTCTTAAACTCTTTCCGTCCTCTCTTCGTCACTGACCCCTGAGCCTTGGGAGGAGGGGTTATGACACAGATGTCTCCCTTGAGAGTTGAGCCTGCCATTATCTCTCATTCTCTGCATACTGACTGTTGGTAGATCTCCGTGTTAATTAGCATCTAGTGTGCATGTGCGAATGTGTGTGTGTGGGGGGAGGGGACGGACTCTGATGCACCCATTTAAGTGGGTGTATACACAGCCAGATAAGCAAGTTAGTGCAGCAGAAGGAAAAGGTTGTGAAGAACACGTACCAGACTGTCAAAATGGAGGGAAGAATGGATGTGTGTGTGTGTGTGTGTGTGTGTGTGTGTGTGTGTGTGTGTTTACTAGGATTGAACCTAGGCCTTGCACCTGCTAGGCAAACACCACACCTCTGGGCGACAAGCCCAACCCTTCTTGTATTTTATGTATGAGACAAGATCTCACCAAGTTTCCCAAGCCAGCTGTCACTCATACTGTAGACCAAACAGGCTTCCTGCCTCAGTTTCCCAAGTATTTGAGATCACAGGCATATAATACCATGTGTGGACAAAAAAACCCCACAAATCTTAGGCTTTCTATGCATTTGTCCATGAGCTTATATAAAGACATTGAAAATACATTATAGCACCTTTAAAATTCCCCCACTGTAGCAAAATATACACATGTAAAATCATTTATGTATAGGCAAGCAGGAAAGAAATAAAAACACTAAAAACTCAGTCCTTACAATGAAATAAACTAGCTGTACCCTGCTACATAATGACTCTTGCCAACTCTTTTATTTCTAATCCATATAAAATTTTGAGTACCATGAGGGAAAAAGTGGCATTGTTAATTTATCTAGGGGTAGAAACTATTCATTCTCTCTCTCTCTCTCTCTCTCTCTCTCTCTCTCTCTCTCTCTCTCTCTCTCTCTCATACACACACACACACACACACACACACACACACACACACACCACATACACGCAGACTTGATTGTTGTTTTTGTTTTTACTGAGAAAGCGTGTCTTTGCATAGCCCTGGCCGTCCTGGAACTCACTCCATTTGAGGCTGGCCTCAAACTCACAGAGATCTGCCTGCCTCTGCCTCCTGAGTGCTGGGATTAAAGTACGCATCACCACCGTCAGGCAACATGCAGAGTTTTGTTTTGTTTTTTAAAGTATAGCAGTGTTAACATGTGCCCAAATCAAAACAGGATTACTTACATAGTTATCTATAGGAGCCCCACAGAGAGAGCAATCCCAGTGTAGATTAACTGACATAAGAATAACTAAATTGCATCTTATCCTCACAGTGGAATATTATTTGCCAAAAAAGAAGAAAGAAAGAAAGAAAGAAAGAAAGAAAGAGAGAAGAGGGAAGTGTTGACGCATGTTGTAGCGTGGGCGAGGGTGAGCATTGTACCTAGTGAGAGAAGCCGGCCCCAGAATGTCGTTAATCACGTGATCACATTTTCAGGGAGGTGCAGAAGCGCCAAGTGTTTGGAGACAAAAGGTAGGTTGGTAGTTTCTTGGCGCTGTGGGGAAATGCTGGTAAGACTTTGGCAGGCGACTTCTGGTTTTCTTTCTAAAGACGGTGTTTTTACTTTTATGTGTGTGAGGGCACCCCCATATGTCTGTAGGTGCCTGCTGCAGAGACCAGAAGGTGACCCTGGATCCTCTGCCGCTGGAGTTACCAGTAGCTATGAGCTGCTCAGTGTGTGTGCCAGCCGTCAAACTCTGCTCCTCTGCAAGAGCAGGAGGTACCCAACCACTGAGCCATCTCCCTAGCCTTGGTAAGTGACTCCTAATGAGCACAAAGCCACTTTTGGAGTTGATGGAAACGTTTTAACGTTGGCTGTAATGACTATCGCGTAACTCTGAAATTATTCTTAGAACCAAGGAATTACACATTTTTTAGTGGGTACCCTCTTGCGGTTATGCCTATCACAGCTCAAGAAGGCTGCTCTTTAGTCTTTGGTCCTCACTATAGCGGCAGAGTTTGCACGCGAGAAGAGCTCTAGACTCACCTCTCCCTTTTGGGTCCCAGTTCTTCCTGCGTCTCCAGGTTCCCTGAGATCCACCCCAGAAGAAACTTGCTCGATGGTCACTCTTTACTTAAAGACTTTTTTCTCCCTTTCCAATGTATTTTGAAACTATTTTAGGGATACCTTACTTGGAGCAGGCGCTCACAAGCTAAAGTAAAATGGAAATATCAGTACATACCTTCAATGATGTGCTTTCTTGACAAGCCTCTCTCTGTTTCAGCTCTGCAACAAAAAAGAGGTAGGTGACTTTGACATAACCATTCTTTCCTTTTTAACTTTCTTTTTACTTCTTCTTTGAGCCTTTCACATTATGCCTCCCGATCCCACCCATCTCCTCCCTCTCAGATAAAACAAAATGAAATTTAAGAGAAAAGTGTGGGGGGAGAAAGAGTTTCCTCATGGAAGCTGCCGTGGGACACAGCGAGTCACGCAGTAAACCCCTTTATCCTTACAGTTTTTACGTGTCGGCGCTCATTGTAAAGAATCATTCGTCTGGTTCGAGGGCCCCTGGTCACTGCTACCCCGCTGACCCTGGCTGATCCTCCCCTTACCAGCTGCAGCACTTGGGAAAGTGAACCCTGCCCCTCGCCTGAGCAGCACGGTAGGAGTGATCCTATTGGCTGAGGTGTGAGTGAGCCAGATCCAATACATGGAGAGCTGCCCCCTATTTAATCATGTGTCCTGTGAGGAGAGGAGAGATGGCGCCCCCTTCAACGCCTGAGGCCGGAGGAAGAACTGCTCCTGAGCAGGAGAGCTGTCCCTCCCCCTTGGGAGAGTGGCCCCTACACCTTGCCTTGGCGGGAGGCCTGACCCTTGCTTCCTGCTCATTGCTCCAAGGGGTGAACTAGCCAGGGCATCGCTGGAGAACACACCCTGGAGGTGCAGACAGGGGAGAGATGGCATGCTGGCCAACCATGCAACTACCCAGGTCCAGAACCAGGGTTATCTGTGGTCTGCTGGAGTACAAGGGGGGGCGTGTCCTGGGTGTGTGTGTGTGTGAGTGTGTGTGTGTGTGTATGTCCGTCTTGCAGACCCAGGGCTGCAGGATCTCCATGACACAGGGCAGCAATGGGTTGTCCCTGAAGAGTCCAGTGAGGGCCCATAATCATTCTTCCTTTGTCCACATTGCTAAGTTTTTTACCATGCGTTCAGCAAGCCCTGAACTACTGGCTATGGAGAAAGCTGGAGGGCAGCACCCCAAGTGTGCAGAACCTAATAGTTGTGGGCAGGCTATTGGTGTCACTCAGCTCTAGGCTAAGCTACCTACTAGCTGTGCACATCCTTGCCTTTGAGAACACAACACTCAGCTCGGTCTTCTAGCCTTGTTCCTAGCCAATCTAGAGAAGGAAAACAGTCTTGGCGTAAATTCATAGGTTTACTCTACGGTGGGCATAAAGTTTTGGATAGAGCAAATTTGAAAGCATCTTTTGACAATGGAAATAATTTTTAACAATGATTTCTTTAAAAGATGCAACAAACTTTCCTTAAACCAGCATGCAAGGGGATGAGACAAGCCTTTAATGGCAGAGCTTCTGTTACTCTAGAAAAACCCTAAAGTCTGGACAAGCAGACAGGATGTGGTGGCCAAGGTTAAGTCTTGATGAGGTATCCCTTCAACATCAACACTTTGGACAGCTTCTTCTACAAATGTGCATGCCACCATTCACCTGTTTAATGTGCCTATTCCAAGTCTTTTACAAGTACATCGGTTAATATTGCATGTAGCTCTGCCGCACGGTGACTCTTGCAGCTGGTCTCATTTCTAGATGACTTTCACCCTCAAGGTTTCATGCCCCATTGCAAACATGAGTCAAATTACAGAAAATGGGCACCTGTATTATAGATACCGCATTATCTAAAAAGGGGATAACTGGAATAAAAGTCTAGATTACATATCTATGTCTTCACACCATTAACAAGCTCAAGGAGCATAACAGTGTGGGCACGTGTGTGTACACATACACATTGTGATTCGGATCTTCCTAAAGAAGTAGCCTAGGCCTCCTTCTTTAAAATCCAAGCTGATAGAACAACAACAAAAGAGAAGCAGATACTTTTCTCTCTACCTATTTCAGGGTGGTCAAGAAGGTTTTGCATGTTTGTTGTCATAGTTGTTAGGATTCTGGCATCTTTGAGATTTTCTACAAAAAGTACAGGCCAAACATTGCTCTGGTATAAGGACTGGCTTGCTGTTTTCTTACATGTTTGGTAGAAAACCGCCAGCTCCCTGGTTCTTGGTGAATAATGTAAGCAGCAGTTCAAACACTAGCAGGCTGCTTCATCAGAAGCCAGAGCAGCTGGTGGTGTGTTCTGAGTCCAAAAACACAGAGACGGCTTCTCTTTCATTTGTCCTGCCGGTGAGTGACACAGGGATAGTGTCCCTTATCCCCCAATGCGATGGTCTTTTTGATCAGCACTCTCAGAACCCTCTACAGAAATGATCAGAGACTTGAACCTGGAGGCCAACGGGATATTTTTTATCTTTGCATTCCGTGGAAATCTTGAGTTTTGGCAGATTTGAGGAGCTTTTCTTTTGTGATGGTTTATTTTCTTTTCCTGAATTTTTGAACTCTGTTTTGGAAATGGTTCTAAGTACGACACTGAAAAATCTACACAAGTCATTTAGTAACAAGTGGCATGCACTAAATTTCTTTGAGAATACTTTGCTAAAGTGTAGTCTTAGGCTAATTACAACTTCTTTAGCACAAGAGAAAAATCCTGTAAGCTAGTTGATTTTACTATGAGTTAAATGTAAAAACGATTGTTAAAACAATAAAAAATGGAAAAAGGCACAAATTGCTAGTCATTTCTCATCTCATAGGAAAATAAAATAATAAAAGGTATTCAACTTACTTTCCACCCCAGTAGAGTTTGGTTGTGATGACCAAGCTGGACCTCCTGTACACCAAACAGACACAAAGAAATAGCAGGTCATTGTGGGTTGTTGATGGATTGAATCATTATTCATTTATTATGAGGGACTTGTTGTAGTGCCTCACCATTAAAAAAGAAGGTGGAGATGGAGTTCTAAATTCACAGCCCCGAAATGTAAGAACAAGAAGGGAAACTGGTGAGCAGTGACTTGAAGTCAGACACTTAGAAGGGACTCAAGGGAAGTAGTTTTTGCAAGATGGAGACCCTGAAGGATAAGGGCTGCCCAGTGCGCTTGAGAATGATGTTGCGATGTGTCCTGGGTGGGAGGTGGTCTTGGAGGTCAGACATAGTGCCTGAGAATGTAGGTGACCTACAGGGCGAGTTGCATTGGTAGCTCAGAAGAGCAGCCACTAATTAGCACTTATTTAGAATCTGGCATGATGATGACTGCCTGTGAACCTTTCCTGGGAGGAAGCCTCCTCTCTGCCAAGGACCATGGGCCCAAGTGACTCCGCGTCATTATCTCACCCAATCATCACACTCACGGGCAGTGGTAAGTGACCGGCTGCGTAGAAATAGGAATGACGAGCCAAAAGCCTCATACTCAGCAGATGCTTTAAACCCTTTACCAAATGTCCCACCACTTTACGGCAAAGGGATGAAACATGGAAATCGTGCTGGCAAACTGGTTACTCAAAAGCCTCACTCAAAGGCAGCAAATGCTCTAGTGTCTTGATCATGAAGAAATGTCCTTTGAGAACTACAGGGATATAATCTAAGCTTGCGAGGCAGAGAGCTCAGTGCACTTTGGCTTGGAATAAAATCTGCAGAGATCCAAAGGTTAAGACCAAACTTGTGAATTATCTGAAATCCAGGGCATTTATAATTCTGTCCGCTGCACCGTTGACACCTTAAAGCTCTTGGGCGTACGAGGCCTCCGTGTTTATCTGTCGGGAAGTGGTGGGGACTATTCTGACAACTCGGAGGCAAGACAAAAAAAAAAATTGAAAATGCCAGCCTCTCCAGAATCCCACTAAGTCAATTCCCAGGAGAGTAAGTTGAGTTACAGAAACGGAAGGTCTGTGGATGTAAGGTCCTGGAGACTGCACGGGCCAAAAGGACTTTTCACATTAACACATCAGCCTCCCACGGCCTATGACAATACGACTCTGCATAGGTGGAGCCAGGTCTCCTTTAGCAAACACTTTCTATCTCCCCCCAAAAAATAGAGACGTTAAGAATATTATAAAATATAAGCATAAGCCCCTTTGATTATTCAGAGCAAATATTATGCCAAAGCTGCACATTGTATCCAAATACTGAAGTTAGACTTCTCTACAAAACTGCCCATGTGGGTGTGTGCGCACAAGCCAGCATTTATGCTTAGGTGGCAAGATTAGACCGAAGCCTGGCAAATTATCCCTGAGCCACAGAGGACCTCCGGAAGTGTGAGTGTAACCCGGCACAGTCTCCCGAAAGCATTGCTCCCCCTCTCTCACAAGGTCAGCGAGGCGCCTCAGCAGCCGTCTTACAGTTAGGAGAACCAGGGCCCAGAGAAGTGAAATCGCTTTCTCTGGATAAGGACACTAGCTCGCAAGTGACGGACGGCTCAAAGACAAGGAGCCAAGCCGGCTAGTTGAGCCTGCTAGGATGGCATGGTTTGTTTCTCTTCTCCCCAGTGCCCTCCTGGAGGCAAATGTGAGCCGTGTGAACTTTTCATGGCATAGTACTAGCTTGAGCTGTTTCATCAGCAAGGCTGGAAGGTGACCTGTGAAACATTCATATGAATCTGTTTTCCATAGGGTATGTTAAGTTAAGGAGGAGGAAATCGGTGCCCGCTGAGGGAAAACCGCTGCTTCTCCATCTTCACGAGCAGGGCACTCTTCGCCTTGCTGTGGGTCTTGCTTGGCTGTGTTCCATGACACCCCAGATGCCATGCCACCCCCATTATTCCCCCACCCCCCGCTTTGTGTAAAGAGTTGGTGAAAGGGATGGGTGACCACAGTCCTTGAGTCTCTTGGAGCCCTCAAGGATAGCAGACACTCCTCCGAATGCTCAGAGAGTAGAGCGCCAAGCACCCAGGACAGGTGTTGGCAATCGTATCAGGTGACACAGCTTTTCGGCAATCATCCCGAAGGGCTATTTGTTCCGTCATTTCTTTGTACAGAGAGCTGTTAATAAAATGAGTGGTGAGCATAAATCTATGTGTCTGGATGGTTTCCTGTAGCTTGCTTCTCCACTAATTACAAGTACAGCCAAAGCTATCGCAATTCTTTTATGCACAAACATCTCATAACAGCCTCTCTTCTCTGCCGGACCCTGTCGTGGCTCACTGTAGACAACAACTATGCATTTTTTTTTGAAGTACGAATGATGAACTCTCTGGCATTTATTTCCAAACCACTGGAGATAATTTCTTTACCAAGGGTTGGTTACTTTTGGGGGGAAGCCTTTCCTTCTAGTATTATCGTTTTATCTTTTACTTTTCTGATGCAAGTCAGTAAGTCTTTAAAAAGGCAAACGAGTAGTTATGGTAGACGTGGTACCTCCAGCCTTTCTTCTTGATGATGTTCCCCAGAATCACCTCAGCCCTGAAAGGGGAGAAGACAATGTTTTAGACTGCAGTGTCTCAGAAAAGCAAGAGTCAATCCAGCACCAGAGCTATCCCATTTTTAAACCCTCAGTGCCTACAGAACCCCAAAATAGAAGCTCTCTCAGCTGGTAGCACAGTCTCCACTGTTTCTGCTTGTGCCGGCAGAATCCTGCTCCCAGGCATTGCAGAAGCACCTGCCAAATTCTGGCACCGGCAGGAGAGGCCGCCTGTGGTCCTGACATAAGAAACAGAGGAGTCAGCTGGCAGCTCGGTCCCACATAAAAATACCCTACTTTGTGATGTTCAATGAGAGTCAAGGTTTTTCCCGTCTGACTGAGGTGGAACAATTTAGCTGTGCCTGGAGGACAAGAGACCTCAGACTGTTTAGACAGAAAATACTGGCTTCCAGGTGGTCTTGGAAGAAAAGAAAGAAGCTACATGTGCACTTAAATGTCCCAGGTCCAGCAGTTACAGTGGTCCATGTGAAGATGTCCCAGGACTGAGTAATATCCGCCGTAGGATTAAGATGTAAGGAGACCCTACAAAGTACCCTTCCTGTCGATAAGGCTGGGTTGTGGAAAGGTGCACTGAAGATATCTTAATATCTTCTCCATTTCCACGTCCCCAGGAAGATTCACCAAGACTGAGTAAACTAAAATGTTCTACATCTCTCCCAGTGAGATCCCCAGTGTGAGAAGCAGTGGGGCCGCCAGAGTTTGGAGCGGAGAGGTGAATGCAGTTAGCAATTAGTTCATCATGAGCCAGATATGGATGCCATTACTAGCTATTAATTTATGGAAACAAATGCTGTTTTTATTAGAGCCTTCAAGAATGCAGACCTAGCTATGGAGCATGCTCCAAATGGACAGACGTTGGATGCAACCGGGCTCTTTTTCGTTTCTCCTTGTTTGACCGTTGCTACGTGTAACCTTACATAGCGAGACCCTGTCTCAATTCCACAGTGGCCGTCAATCAACAATGATTCAAATGACGGTCACTCATGGTAGGAGTCACAAATCGAGCCTCTAGCAGACCCACTACGTTCCTTTCTCTGCCTTAGCCTGTTGGTGCTATATGGGATTCAACAGAGGAAGGCCCCAGACAAGAGAGTTTGTAGAGAGGAGCAAGGCCTTAGAACTTCTACATTCTTTTCCTGGACTCATAAACAACGGGGATGCCAATGCTCTGATGGTCCTTAAGCATATACAGGTCCTTGAAAAAGAGGGGAACCAAGTAAGAAAAAAATGCTCCTAGGTCATGTGGGGTGGACAGGGCAAGCCTCCGCTCAACTGTGCCTTTCCTGAGGGAGGGGCAGCAGGCCGGCTGTGGCCATACTCCACAGTTCCCTGAAAGACCAGCAGGGGGTGTCTGCTCCCTGTTATTGATGGAAGCCAGACATCCACATTTATTTCAGGAGACCAGAGCTCCGTACCCATTCCAAAACACACTAGTTATGTTGTGTGGCATGTGCTTGCTGATCTGGCCTGACAGAACATCGGCTATGTGTGTTCTGATTTAGCAAGCCATGTTTAGAGAGCCAACTGCAACGCACTCAGGTCCAAAGGAAGTCGCTAGAAGTCACTCCTCGACTGAAGCGAGGTCTCCCTGTAGTCTGCTGTCTTCAGAGTAGGCTCTGAAACTCCCTCTTGTAAAAGTTGTTGATATCTTGTGTTTGTCTCCCTTCCGGCCCATTTTTCTTACAGCAATGGTCTGGGTAGACCAAGAGGGTCCCAGGATTCAACACTCTAGAGACGCGGGGAGGGCTGAGGAAGAGCATGCGCGAGAGAAGCAGCCCCTCCTCACCAAAGCCACAGCAACGTCTGGGCACGCCCCTCTAGCTTGCAAAGGATGCCGGCGAGGGACAGAAATGGGTTCTGACTTACTTCCCAGCGGCGTAGACCTCAGCCGTGTCGAAGAGATTAACTCCACTTTCGTAGGCGATCGTCATCAGCCGTTCAGCAACCTGCAAGATAAGGATGCAAAGGTCAGTCAAGAAGTGCCGGAAACGCCTTCCTAGCGGGGTAGCAATGTTAGTCCCTTGTCTGTCTTCCACTCTGAGACCCAGCTACTACTTCTTGCTTTTCTCAGCCGCAGTGAGCGGCAAAAGGAAGAAGACTCAAGCGTGGGTGATCCTTCTACCCTCAGACGAAGTAGGCTGAAATCCCACTTCTGTGTGTGTGTGTGTGTGTGTGTGTGTGTGTGTGTGTGTGTGTGTGTGTGTGTGTGTGTGTGTGTGTGTGTGTGTGCAGGGGGAGTTGTTGGTCGTCTTCCAAACACCGAGGTGTGCAGATCTGTTTCCCACCCTGCTGGGCAAACCTTGTCTGACAACACCCGCAGTGCCGTGTAATCTTGATGACAAAGAGGGCCATTTGTATCAACACCTTTCTGCAAGCCAATAGTTCCTGGCAGTCGGGTGGCTCCTGGCCTAAAAGCTTGTGACTTTCCTCAAGCCCTAGCCAAGGGCGCGGATGAATCAGGGGCCAGGCAATCATGACCGCTGCAATGCTCCTGGCATCCGCAGTTCGGTGGAGCAATAGGCATCATCTCGGAGCTGCTGCTGAGTCAACGCAGGGGAGGGAGGCAGCGAAGCCCCTGACTCACTAGGGAACAGCAGCTCCTCTGTGCTCAGGCTGCAAGGGATCAGAGCTCCTCCGGGTTCCACTGTGCAGCTCAGTGCGAGCTAGCAAGAGGCGCAACAGGAGCGTATGGCTGTCAAGGAGTGTCGTGATAAGCAGTGGAGGAGTCTGTCTTCACTTTGCTGGTTAATGTATTAGAAGTTTCAAAAGTTCCCACTTCCAACCTAGCGTTGGCGGCGCACGCCTTTAATCCCAGCAGAGGCAGGGGCAGGGAGATCTCTGTGAGTTCGAGGCCAGCCTGGTCTACAGAGCGAGTTCCAGGACAGCCTCCAAAACAATACAGAGAAACCCTGTCTCGAAAAAACCAAAAAAAAAAAACAACAACAAAGTTCCCACTCCCCACATCCGTGATTGCAATTGATTTTCCATTATGTTCTTTGATGGTGGAGTAACATCGCTTCGTCAGCGTTTCTAAGATAGACCGTGATTCTGGTGTTTTGAAAGTTAACCTCCCCCTCAAGACCACAGATAGGCTAGTGTGCACGGCCTTTAGCGTTACCCACAAAGACAGCAGTTACGGCTTTTTCGCCTGCCACTGTGAAAACGTCATCCTTAAACAGAGGTGAAAGTAGAGCAAACATAGTCCCCTCCTTCTGGTTGTCCTACATTTTAGAAATTACGGTGCTTGCGGTAAAAATCGTCAGGGTATGTCATACAGCATAGCGGTGGATTATCGCTGGGAAATGTTAACAATTACATCTTATATACACAGAGAGGTTCTGAAATGGAGAATTCTGGATGGGCGCTTGGGGTGACTGGTAGTAGGAATGCTTCCCAAGCACAGAATCTGAAGACCTCACGTGGAAATAATGGTGAAAAATATTGAATTAAGCCTGAAGACTGGCTCTAAGAGGAGTTTCTTAATTGGTCTAAGATAATAAAAAGCCGGAGTCAGATACAGAGGGAAACGCTGAGAGATCAGAGAGAAGGAGCAAGCCAGCCAACCATTGGCTTTACGCCTTGATGCTTTGAGGCTTTAGGCCTTAATCTGAAATGCCTTATGAAAGGCCCTGTGTTTGTTCCCCAGCCTGGAGCATTATTTGGAGAGCACGGAATCTTTAAGAAGTGGGGGCTAGTGGTAGGAAGTTAAGTCACTAAAATCCTGCCTCTCTGTTGTTCTTGGTGTGCAATGTCCCCTGTTACACACTCAGACACGGCATACTGGCTCACTACAGGTCAAAGTCAGGAGAGTCAAAGGAATAGGGGTTGAAAACCCTGAAACCTTGAGCTTTGCTCCCTAAAAATGGATTGCTCGAGGTCTTTTGTCACGGGAATGGAAAGTGAACACAGTCCATGAACGTCCTCTGTCTGTGTAAATAAACTTGGACAAATCATTTGGCCCTCCCAGATTATCTGAAAACTGAGGGGGTTCTAGGAGGGGAGCTCCTCCTGCCAGGGAAAACTGGTCTCCCTTCCTCAACCACACGGCCAAGAAAAGCCTTGTGAGATATTCACACTAATGAGTCGTTGCAGAGAATTCTGGGCATACCTTTCCCTTCTCCACAGAATTTCTGGAAACAGAACTCTCGCCCTGTTCTTTTTGAGTCTTAGACATTCTCGCAGCTCTTTCATTCTTGCTACCTGAAGAGGAAGTTGATGCAAAGGGCTGGATAGGGCAGAGAGAGTGACTCTCTTCCTATATAGCTTAAAGGTCAAAATGAATGTCCCCCTTTTTTGGCTAAATTAATGTGGGTGGGGGTTTAGTATTACCTGCTATTAAGGCTACATCAACTACATTACGGATGAGAAAACATGGAACAAATCCCCAAACTCAGCGCTGTTTGGATGCTAAATGTGCCCTCTTAAAAACCATTTTCAGGAAGTTATTACTCATATGAGTACCCTATATCTTAGTTTTCATTTGAAAGGCATAACTCTGGAGTTATTAAGTTTGTTGATATCCCTGTTAAGTACCTATCCAACATGTTGCTGAAATCTTCAGGGATAGGGTCTTCACACCCTCCTGGAGTGGCACTGATAATTATAGCACCCAGTATATCATGGTGCGGCCATTTGCACCTGGTTTAAGCTTAGAGCACCCGGAGGTGTGAGAGAAAGCTGAATGACCAGGGAGGTGAGTTCATTGCTGTAGGCGTCTAATCTTACCCCTAGGGAACAGGGGTAAACCACTCAATCGCGAGCACTGACTCACAGTTGACCCCTCTCCTCACGAGGCTGGCTATCTCCATCTTTCTCTTTCCACACAGTGCATCAGGCTGTAGCAGGTTGCAGACAGGCTGGAGACCCTGGCTGGGGACTTAGTTCCATTCTAACTTGCTGCTGACTTTGTGCCTAGACGGCAGTGGAGTCTAGTTGGAAGTATTGAGATTCTAGGGGCAGAGCTCTGACCTCACCCTTCTGTGTCTTTCTCTCTGCTTCCCGACTGCAGTGAGATGAGCAGCATTGCTCCTCCCTGGTCTTTTGTCACGACGTTCTCCCTCTCCACAGTCCAGGAGGGACCGACCGCTGTACTCCCTGTGAATGTACCACCTTACATCCCTACCTGATGCCGTAAGGCCTCCTGATGTGCACAGGCAGGTCCTGTAGGAGGAGACTTTGGGACTGCGCCCTAGCCATGCTGCGCCCTAGAGGTGCATGCAGATATGGTAATGAAAGGGCGGTGAACTGCGCCGCTAGCCAGGCCCACTTTTGGGCATGGCTAGAGGCACACTGTACAGCAGAGCCGTACTCTCTCTTTTCAGCTTCTGGGTCTGTGGTGAAAGCTACTTGACTCATCTTGGTTACCCGTATTTGTTGTAAATAATTTATACAACAAACAGTTGCATACACCCTCAACAAGTGTGCCTTTTATCGTTACAGCTACACAGGTCCTCCACAGCTACTGGGGGTGCTGCCATTGGGAGGTCTTCTGCTGCCAGCCCCCTAGAACTACACTTGGCTGGAGTCACCTCACCCAAGATCTGATTCTAGGCTAGCTTTGACCCGATGACTGTGCAATACAGTGACACGCACTACACACACACACACACACACACACACACACACACACACACACACATAAAAAATCCAAGGAAAAAATGCTAGGGAAGGGAAGAATATTCCTGCTGCACATTTTCTTCATCAGAATTGTAGAAGCTGAAAGCGGCTCACCTCATCTGAAATTTGACCTCCAAATGTCACCCACGTTCCTGGAAGAGAATAAACATTTGTGTGTTATTTGTAGCCATTTTTCTAATACTGTACATAACAAGAGCAAGTAGCTCACAAATGTGCGCCTAGACGTGGGCGCGTGCTCGCTCTAGTCTAGGCTCCCCACCCCACTTCCTAATACTCCAGGAAGGGTCCTGTGTCACTTTGGGGAAGGGCAGCTCTTCAAGCCGCCGTGGATGCCTGGGGCGCATATCCTCCTGCTGCGTGAAACTTTGCTTCTGCCACGGGACCAGATGCACAAGACGTCAGTGCCACGGAGCTCACTTTGGCTGCGCGCCTATTTTTTGCTCTTCCACAGCTAAGAGGCCTGTGCTGCAAGTGAGCCCAAGAAAGCGCGGCAGCCAGAGCGAGCCAGGCCTTGACGTAAGCTTCAGGCCTTCCTTGCAGACTCCGTCTTGAATTGTCCGTTTGCTTTTTCAAGAGGACTCTCTCCAACATTCCGCCAGGACCTGCTTACAAGACGTGGGTGGTGGCACGGAACGGTACCTCCTCTGTGCGTCCTGCTCTGGGAAATTTCTGTTGATTTGGGGTGAAGGTAGGAGGCAGGAGCGGGGGCGAGGACAAGGAAGGCAAAGGAAGGGAGGTATAACCAGCGACGTGTGTAAAGCCAGACACTGAGCAGGCACACGCCGTGCCTCCAGCAAGTCTCTTCCACTAAATGCTTCTTACGCATTCTTTCTTTGAGCTGTAAGTCCATCGTCAGACAGAGACATCGCCCCCACCTATCATGGGTAGCGAGGTGAGCAGAACAGTTCCTGTTTTTAGCCCGAGTTAGCAGCGTGTCTTGATAAATGCTCTGACTGAGGTAAACACAAGGCAGTATAAGAGCTTGGGATAGCAAGAGGGTTGGAGGACGCGAGTGTGCAGATGAGCTGTGTGTGGACCATCAGGCCCCGGCGCAAAACGTGAGTCAAAGAGGGAGACCAGGGCAAGAGTAGAAGCAGTTAGGGCACGGGCGTGGTTAGTACTTATAGGGCGTGAAAGAAAGGCTGTTGTTGTCAGTTTATAGTCTGCATCTCACTGTGGGTCACGGCTACCACCACGGCGCACCTTCCAGATATCAGCAGTGTGCTAAGAAACTTTTCTTGAGTCATTTGACAGAGACTCAAAGGACAATCTTGTCCTCCGTGTTTAGGGCTGAGAAACCTCACATTAGCCAGCACTAGATGAGACAGATACCCAAGCTCCCACCAACATGCTGGGCAAGGTTGCCCCCTTCAGTTATCACACTGCCCAGTTAGACTGTCTCTCTCTAAGTTAGTGTGCCATCCATAGACATATGTTGGTACACCTTTTTCTTTGTTCTCAGAGACCAAAAACAAAGGGAGTGTACTAACCGTCTTATGAGCGTGCTTTCTGTCTCCGGAGGTTGAGGACGCTCAGCTGAGGACGCTCAGCTTCCAGACTCAATCCGTCTCACTAGAATGGAGCTGACCAACTTGGTGTTTCAAATACATTTCGAATGAGTTACCGACATTCAAACATTTAGGAAGTTTTTTCTGGAAAAACTTTGGATTTTCGGCAAACATTGACACCAGAGGGTCCATGCCTCTTCTAGGCAGGTGTGCCCCAAACTGAGATGGGGAGCGTGCTTTTGTGAAAGACTGTGCCGGCCTGTGGGTCTCCCTCACCCTGCTTCCTGATGCATTCTTAACAGTGAAATAAAATGGTTACGGCTTTGTGCCGTATATGTTTATCGCCATTTTCCTTACAGCAAAAGTAAGAGGGATGTGAACTTGTACATCTTAAAAAAACAGAAGTGATGATTTTAGGGGAAAAATAGGCATAGATATCCCTGCCCCCCTCCCCAAGAAACATTCCAAACAAAGAATGCTAACGGAGGAAAAAAATATCCCACTGTAAGCAGCCAAAATAAAAGCAGTCATGACCGGTGCACGGAAAAGACGGTCTTTGAAAAGCTTAATGGTCTGAGAAAATGGCCCATGCCTGGTTTTGAACGGGAATTAAGTGAGGTGTTGTGGAAAGCAGCTCTGTATTAAGCGGAAGAAATAATTGCCTGGGCGTCAAACCTTTTCACAGGCATGTTTACAAAAGAGTCCCTTTGAACGTGGCAGGACTCTTTTGTAAACATGTCTTAAGAACAAACATTGAGAATGTTAATGGAACTGGCAGCACGGGAGGTTTACAGCTGAGGATGCTCAGCACAAGGTAAGTTGCCGGAGCCATTTTCTACGGCAGCGAATGAGAAAGCAGGCAGGGATGAGTGACAGCGCCTCGGTGACATTTATTTCCGGTACGGTGAGAACTTTGAAGGGGTCAAAGAGCTTTTGGGTGGGGCCCCACCGGAAGGAAAAGATACTTGGATTGGCTGTCTTGTGTGATTGGCTGGAGAAGTCTCAGATCATTTGGAAACTGAGTGCAACCAGGTCAAAGCCACTGTTGCCAGAGGTTGGGTGAGGTTGCTGCTGGCCCTGTCAAGCTACCGACCAAACACGGCACTATTTTGTGGGATCGCTATACCCGAGTCCCTTAATTTCCCCCTGCTCATTAAAAATGGCTTTGGGCAAAGAGCTAAAATGGGAGAAGCCACGGATTCAGTAACGAGTCCCACAAATTAGCTGTTCTTCTATGTCTTCAAGCAAAAATCAGGTCAATGTCTGCTTAGTGAATTTGCTAGCCGGCTTGTGAGGTGCTGTGAAAGCACTTCTTTGGTTTGTTTGTTTTTATTGTTGATGTCATCAATGAGAATAGACTTCTCTCTACTGAGTCCAGAAGGTTTCCTGGAGCCTGAGCTGCTTTCTGATCTTACAAATCATCCGTGCTTGAATTCTTCTCTATGGGGAGGAGGGGAGACATTCACAGACGCTCCTTGACTTGCAAAGGGGCTGTGCCTGGGAAGTCTAGCACGTGTTGGGAAAATGCCACGAGCCCAATGCATTTCACAAACCTCATTTACCAAACACCCTAGCTTAGCAAGCTGCGTGATGTGCAGAACCAGCTGTTTCCTGCGTAGTGGTTGGCTGGCCAGAGGTTCACCCACCTGCTCTTGCCCAGCATCGTGTCAGTATTTAATGCAAATTCTCCCCAGGAAAGGACCAAAATTCACATGGCAAAGTATAAAGGTGGTGGTGGAGTAGTAGACTAGCACGTACACGCTTTCAGATCATTTAGAAACTGAGTGCATGCAACCTGGTCAAAGCCACTGTTGCCAGAGGTTGGGTTGAAAGACCTCGGCATCAAAGCGCCGGGTACTGAACCGAACCCTCTGCCCAAGAACCGGGGCCAGACCACTGGCTGCAAATGCAAGAGGTGATTTATTGAGTACACAGGCGCCCGCGGATGCTACTGCAACTCGGGTGCAGAGCATACCGGGCTTGCAGGGAGCACAATATTTATAGAGTTTTAATGGTTACATAAATATCAGCATAGCAACAGGCATTTCATTAGCTCATCTTGGGGGTAGGGGTAGTTCCCACGGACTAAGTTTCCTGGTATTACCTCATGAAAGACCCCGGCACGCTTCAGCAATTATTATCCGGGTCCCATGACTGCTCTGGTGACCACAGATCCTGTTTGACATCCTGCCAGCTGGGCGAGGCACCTGGTCTGGGTTTCTTTCATTAGGCAACGGCCTGACCTTGCTTTTCTTTTCCTAGGGGGTCCTGGGTAGGGGTCTTTCAGGGTGAGGTTGCTGCTGGCCCACAGATTAGCTGTTCTTCTATGTCTTCAAGCAAAAATCAGGTCAAAAATCAAAATGTAGTTTCTACCAATTGTATATTGCTGTTGCGCCATCATAGAGTTATAAACTGTAAGTCAAGATGATGTTAAGTCAAAAACTGGATTCGCCTAGATTGTTATTTGCTCATCTCAGGCCTGAGAAAGCTTGGGGAATGATAATCCATTTCTAGATGAGAATTGTAGCCTAGAATTCATCCTCCAAGATTGTATTAATCAAAAATGGATTGCCAAAAATATCTCTGATTTCAAGTCTTGGCACGTAATTGTGCTTAGTAGGAAATTACCCTAGTACTTTGAACACTAGTGATAGTTAAAATTCAATTTGGTTCAACTTAACTAACATCGACTAGTTTTTCAAATAGACTAGCATCATTTAGCTCACTTTTATTAATTACTTACTAATAGTATTAAAGACTAAGTAAAACTCCAAACGCCAGAACTGTATGTACATCTCAGAGTAAGACAAGACCCTTTTACACTTAAAAACTGACGGTGACTCTAGTCATGTTGGGATAGCACTAGTTTTAGGAGTGGTTCTATTCCCCCCCAATAAAAACCCTCAAAACCCAAAAGATGAAACAAAAACTGAAAAACTGAACAAAACTCTTCCATGCCTCTTTAAAGAGCTTAAGGCTGTATTGTATGCATCACAGTGAAAGTCAGACAGCCCGAAGGGTATTTTCACACAAAAGAAAGAGTGTTAGGTCAAAGTTGTGATGAATTACGATGCAAAATAGTGAAAGTTAAATAATTTTCCTTTGACACGGACTTAAAACTATTGACATTCAACAAGCATGTGTATCATATGTGTTTATGTTACTGCTATCGTTTGAGTATGGTTTGAATGCCACCAAAGTTTCACCCATTGGGAGTTTGGCCTGGTGCTATCGGGAAGTGGTGGGAATTTTGAGCGGTACAGCCTAGTGGGAGGCCAAAGGTCATCGCGGGTGACCCCTTGGTAGCTGTCATGAGGGAACTGTTATAAAATGAGCAAGCTTTGCCCTTCTGTCCTCTCTGCTCTTGCTTGAGGTGCAGTCACTTGCTTGTTTAGACATGCACTCCCGTCATGATGTGCCCACCCACCTGCTGACCCCAGACAGGCCAGCTCCCCTGCGCCTCCCACGGCACCCTACTCTCACTGATCTTGGACTTGGGCGCCTTCAAAACTTTGGGCTCAATAAGCAGCCTGTGTCAGATATTTCATTACAGTGATGGCAAGATAGTGAAACTGCATACATACACCACAACTAAAAAGAGTAGTGTTTCCCGTTTTTTGGAA